ACGTCATCCTCCTCCTCCTCGAACCCAGTGAAGACCACCTTCCTCCTCCGTGTTTGTGTGTGTGGATCCCAGACATGCATCTCTCGCAGGCCGTCCTGCACTCTGACACAAACAAATATCTGTTACACAATCAATCGCCTGTTACTTTGTGCGCCTCAGCAGATGTGTGTCTGTGTTGCACCTGTACATGGCTTGTTAGCTAGCTGATAGCTGTGGCTCACACTGCCGTCATAAAACCAGAGGGTGACATGACGGTGGCTTCGTCTTTTACTACACTCACAGCTGTCACGGAGAACGTCGTGATGTCTTACCCACTCTGCTCGCTGACGTCTGTGGGGTCCAGGCCAGCAGAGCCACTGAAGAGCGAGACCTTACTGGCAGCCATCTTGGCGTCTAGAGTGACATGTGTTTCTATGAGGGACTGGACCAGCTCTGTGGTGGGCCGCACTTCCTCCTGCAACAGCGTTCGAAGCGTTACTTTGAATCCTGAAACATTTTATAAATGCACTTCACGCCGTTCAGATGCAAACGACACGCTGCCGTCTCGGGAATACCTGCAGCTGTTTGACGTGGTTGGCTGGGAGGTCGATGTAGACGGCATCTTTGTCATACACGACCCCTCCGACCCCGGCCATGGGTGCGTAGAGCAGACGCTCCTTCTCATTCAAGGCCCTCTTCTTCTGAGTATCGGGCAGTGGACACGGGTCTGGCAGGAAGTTGACCTCTGACATCTGGAAGTCTCCCACACCTACAGACGGGACATCAGCATCACTGCAGTGTTTTCATGACTTTGTCTCATGCTGTCAGCCTGCTGCGCTCGTCTGTGTACCTGGTATATGGACCTGGCCTTTGTTTTTCAAATGTGTCCCTCTGAGGTAGCCATACAGGGACACAGTCCGATCACACTTGGGGTCTGTTCTGAGCCTCTCGGGGTCGGTCAAGTCCTCAATGCTGAGGAGAGAAAGACGAGAGCAAAGACTGAGTCACAAAAACCCCAAACAGGCTCTTAAAGAAACATAAACATGTAAACACACTAAATATGATCATCTTTGATCAACTAACAC